ATCTTCGTTTTCAGTAACTCTGATACAGTATTTTTAAAATGAAACTTAACATAGTCATGTACTATGACCTTACTGTGGAATTACAATCTCGGTTCAAATAACAGTTTGGCCACATATTAATTATGACCTTGGGAACACTTATATTATGAGCCTCAGTTTTTCATTCCATATTTATTGAACATGTATGATGTCCTTGGCACTGTGCTTAGGTAGGCACTAGGGATAGAGAAATGTCACAATTCCTGCCCCTCAAGCTAACAGTCTAATCAGGGAACTAGACAAATAACTTCCACATGGGAGGAGAATTGGTAAGAAGATAGTTAAGTTTTGAAAACCTAAAGTTTAGATTTCTGTGGACCAACGCTCTCCAACAGACCTTTCAACAAAGATAAAATGTTCTTTTTCTGCTTGTCCAATATGGTAGTCACTAGCCACATGTGCCTATTGAGAACTTGAATTTAGCTAGTCTGACTGAAGAACTGAATTGTATTTTAATTCATCTAAGTTTAAATAGCTGCACATGACTGGATATGGTGTTGGACAGCACAGCTGTGGAGCATCTAAAAGGAGATGTTGAGCAGGTAGTTAGATAACACTTGCAGAGCTAAGGAAAGAATTTCAAACTGTGGGAGAATCCAAGTGTAAAAGTGTAATGTGGGAGTTATTCAGTATGAAGAATGAAAAAGATTAAAATAACACGGATCCCTGGAACACTGTATATACTCAAACAAGTTGATAAATTTTTTTTTTAAATATATCTTTATTGATTTCAGAGAGAGGAAAGGAGAGGGAGAGAGAGAGATAGAAGGACCAATGATGAGAGAGTCATTGATTGAGCCCGCAACCCGGGCATGTGTCCTGACCAGGAATCGAACCCCGATCACCTGGATCCTAGGCTGATGCTCAACTGCTGAGCCATGCCCGGCCGGGCTGATAAAATTTCTTAATGTGCACATTGTCCGTGTATAGGGGACTAGTTAAAAACAATGGTACACCCTGGCCGGATAGCTCAGTTGGTTAGGGCATGGTCCTGATATGCTGTTACAGGTTCAGTCCCCAGTCGGGGCACATACTACAATTAACCAGTGAGCCCTGGCCAGTGTGGCTCCATTGGAGCATTGTCCCATACACCAAAAGGTTGCCAGTTCGATTCCCAATCAGGGCACATACCTAGGATGCAGGTTCAGCCTCCGGCCAGGGTGCACTCAGGAGACAACTGATAGATGTTTCTCTCTCACATCAATGTTTCTCTCTCTCTCTCCCCTCCCCCCCCAAATCTAGAATCAATGGAAACATAGTCTCCCTAGGTGTGGATTAAAAAACAACAAAAAAGTAGCAATAAACATGTAGATATATATTTTTAAAAGAACCAATGAATGCATAAATAAGTGGAACAACAAAATTAGTGTTTCTCCTTTCCTCTCTCTCTAAAATCAATCAATAAAAAACCAAAAAACCCCACTGCGGTACTTCCCACAATGAAATACTGTGGAGCATAAACAAGTATGAACAAGGACTGTAGTTACTGACATGGGACTATCTCCAGGATATATCAACTGAAAAAAGCAAGCTACTGAACTGAGTATATAGTATGCTACCTTTTGTGCACAAAGGGTGGGAAATTACAAGTACATTTTTATTTTTGCATAAAGAAACTGGAATGATACACTGGAAACAAACTAAAAGTGGTTAACTATAAGGGGAGGACAGGGCAAGGGAAACTAGGGGACAGATGTGGAAAGAGGCTTTAATTATATAGGCTTTAAACTTTTTTTGTTTGTTTTTAAAAATGTTTTTATTGATTTTGAGAGAGAGAGGAAGAGAGAGGGAGAGAGAGAGATAGAAACAGATGAGAGAGAAACATCATCCATCGGCTGCCTCCTGCACGCCCCCTACTGGGGATGGAGCCCGAAACCTGGGCATGTGCCCTGACTGGAATTCAAATGGGTGACCTCCTGGTGTATGGGATGAAGCTCAACCAACTGAGCCACACTGGCCAGGCAAGTAATTTCTTTTTTTTAATCCTCACCTGAGGAAATGCTTTTCATTGATTCGAGAGAGAGAGAGAGAGGGGGAAAGAGAGAAACATCAATATGAAAGAGAAATCGATTGGTTGCCTCCTGTGTGTGCCCCAAAGGGGATGGAACCCACAACCTGGGTACATGCCCTGACCTGGAATCGAACCCACGGCCCTTTGTTGCATGAGATGACACTCTAACCAACTGAGCCACACTGGCCAGGACTAGTCTTTAAACTTTTTAAAAAAACATATGAAATTATTACTATTTAAATTTATATCTGTGTATTCAATACATAAGACTGACCAAAAGTAAAATCAGAACATTTTTAAGATCTTATTTTTATCTTACATTGATGTAATTTGTCCTGAGCATGCCTTAATACCCTAGAAATTGCATTTAGACTCTTTTAAAAATCTTTGTCTAATTCCTAGCCCTCACCTGCCTGTCACCCTCCTTTCCTCTCAGACCATTCCCCCTTCCTAACCTTCCTGCCCCAAGACTGCACAGGAGCGCGAACTACTGGATTAGTCCTCTTGGAGTCCTTGAAAATCATAAGGGACAGAACCTGAGATAGTGCTTAACTAGATGTTAAAACCTTGAGGCTTAAGAACCACTATGCTAAACCAAAATATGTAGTAAAAGGTGGTAACTGACCCTCTGAGGCTCCCCCCGCCCGTGCACCCTCAACATGGTTCACTCTCTTTTCTCACACCCCAGCTCCCGGGCCACAGCCAGGCTGGAAGGCAACATAAAGGAGCTTGGGCCTCATGGCAGACTAAGCAGAGCTAGAGCAAGTCAGGGAGGCCCATTTCATATTTTAAAAACTTCCATTAACATCTCAGGGTTATTTTGGCCTGGGCTCTTCCTTCAAGTAGAAACAGAGAGATGGGAAGTAGGATCAGGACTGAGACTAGAACATGGATGTTCAGTCACCCAGAAAAAACAGGCTGTTTTTCTTTCTTCTCAACATAGTCCCTGGAAAACCATCTACAGGTTTTTTTTATGAGCATTTACAACCTATTTTGTGTAACTGCATGGCTAAAAAGTCAACTGAGATGCATTGTTTTACTTTAAAAGAACATGAGTAAATATATTATTTGCCACCATCCTATACCAAATGCTTACTATGTGCCAGATCCCAGGCACTTTACTTAGACTACTTCAACTGGTTTCTAAACTCCAGAAATATTTCTTGACTCTTCAGAAAAGAGTCAAGCCCTAGCACAACTCTAGTGGGTACATTACAAGATCCAGTTGTTGAACTCACCCTGAGCCCTTTGTGACTCCCTCACCTGGGCTAGAATCTGTGCTCATTTTAATGCATTTGTAATGTGCATCCTTGGTCAGTAGGTGGTGCCATGAAACCATCTGTGGCATAATCAGGGCGTGCCTAAAGTTCTGACAGCACTGATGGCAAATCGTCCATCCTTTTTTTGTGGAGAGGAGTTATGTATTGGTTGGTAAAACGGTAAGACTTTTAAAGAATATACATTGACTCTGAAAACTAGGAGACCAAAACGAGGAGACAAAATCCAGTATGCAATTGGTCAAGAAACGTGTATGAGGGGTGAGACAGAATCTGGTCAGTCCTTGGCAAGCCCCTAGCTGGGGTCCACATGAGGAAGTTTAAAAGGGGACTATGGACTGGAAAGAAGCAGACATCAAACATACGGCCTGAGTACACCGGCAGGAGCCATTCTATCCAGAAGGGGAGCTGGAGGCTGAGGAGAAGGGCAGCTTGCAGCGTGCCAGGATTTTCTCCATGAAGCAAGAGGTCTCCAGTGCTTGGGGAAAAGCAGTGTTAAGGTCCTGAACCTCCTCAGTGTAAGACTATACTTCTCCCACATCCTGCACTCCCACCATTCCAGAATATCCCCTCTCTAGTTCCTGCTCAGGCACCCCAGTTTTTTCCTAAGGTTTGTATGTTCTCCCCCAAGCAGTATCTTCAGCTTTGAACAACTTGTAGCTGTTCAGAAGGTAACCAGAGAGCTCAATTCAAAGCACATTTATGGGAATTCCAGACTGCTGCCAGCATGAGTGGAGAGAACCGTGACATTCAAAAATTGAAGATCATGTAATTCAAGCTCTTTCAATTGACAGATGAGGAAAGAGGCGTATGACAAATCACTGGCAGGAAAAGGGCCAGAACCCAGGGATTTTGCCTCTGTCGACCCATTGCTTTATTTCTGCACCTGTAATGCTATCTAAAGGAAGTGAATTGATGCTAGTTTCTTTTATGATCCACTAAACTTCTGATCAAAAAGAGCCATCTGCAGGCCTGTTTTAGGTTTTTAAGTAACACTTGCTGATAGCTTTCATGTCAGTAATCATTGATATTATTCCTCACTGAAAAGTATATAAAACTGGCCACAACCTGTTTGGCCAGCCATGCACCTTAGCCAAAAAGAATCATGTGAAAAGCTGTAAGAATTAAACTTTCACTCCAGCTTTCACCCTGATTTTTAGGCTCTTCCTGCTGCTTTCCGTGTGACTCTGCACCATGACACTGGTAAGAGTAGGAAAGCCTATAAAAACTTGTGAACACATACTTTTTTTAACTTGTCCATATAAAGTAGCTTTAAAATGTGAACACTTAATGGAAAGAGATAAGGCCTATTTCACCATTAGGTAATTTGTTTTGCTGCTGAATCAATAAGTGATATCAACAAAGATGATCCAGGAGGATGACCCATACCAGCATCCAGAACAAGGTAAATCCTACCCTCTGTGGCCCCCTCATGCTTGGCTCTTGGCTCCATCATCTGTCCAGAAAACTCTTGGTGACATGTGTATGATGAGTCTAGACAATCTCTGGGATGCAGACTTCTCAGTCTCCAGGCTCCTGCTCTACCCTGGGATGAGAGTTAATCTTCCTTGAAGATTAGTTCCCTGTTGCCAAGTGAGGAAAATTATTATTACAGGATATGGTGGAACTATGTAAGGGATGGGACTTTGAAAAGAAGAATGACGACACTCCCATTTTTATATAAATTATTTTTTATTTCTATAGCATACAAAAGGTATAAATATGACTTATGTAAAACCAATCACCTGCACATTCAAGCAGCAGTACATGAAGCTGGGGTATAAATGTCTCAGCCAGAGCAAGCAGGAAGCAGGGTTGGATCTGGTCAGGCCATGAGACTCCCTTCTCCAGATGTTGTCAATTACCGCAACCTGAGATAAGTGAACAGCTCTGTTTTCAAGGAGGGCAGCTCATTTGACAGTACGTGAGGAAGGTAGTGCCAGAGGTCTGAAGGGCTTCGGGCACTTCTATGAAGGAGGCACTTGATGGGACGCAGGTATGCCTGAGATGGATACCAATTTTGTCAAAACACAGCAGGTAGGACTTGCTAGTGGGGGAGGAGCCAAGGGTCTTTTCATCTCCCAGACCTTCTTTCACACTTCGATTTGATGTGGAGCACGGGACAACAGGAAGCAAAGACAAAAAGGAAGTCCACAGAAGGGAAACAGAATGGAGCAACAGCCACTGATTCCTTGCCCCCTGCTGACAAGTGGCTGAATGCACAAAGGAAGGTTTGGGAGTTGAGCAACGCTGAATGCAGAACTCACAGAGTTACTGGATTCTCAAGATTCAGATACACTCAGACTGCTGGGCTGGTAGCAGAGTCATGTTTTGTTGGGAGCTGCTAATAATCTGAATGACTTAGCAAAACTCATGATTTGTGAGGAAGAGTGACAGGAGCTTGATCTGTACCAATGAACCAGGCTTCAGGGAGCTGACAGTATGTCAAGAAGAAAGGCCCGAAGTTCTGCCCAACAAGGTTTGCAGAGCTCACAATCAGCTGGTTAGTCCTCACCGAGCCTCTCCTATCATCTCTCTTGATAATGATAATGAAAGTTTTGATACATGATCTCTTACTTCTTACACGGTCTACAGGTATGTGTATCCCTCTATACTAATGGCTCCATTTTAACACAGTTATGGGAGGCACTCCTGGGTTGAAAGTGAAGGCAACTGTCAAATTACTCTCAGTCTTAACTAGACTAAGTCACCTCTTAGGTTTATGATTTCAGTCTAAACTGAAATTAAGACAACTATATAAAATTTTCACATTACTGGTCACAAATTTGGCCATAGCCACATAATTCTCACATCACTGATCACAAATTTGGCCACAGCCACTTTGACTGAGATTGGTGCCAACCAATCTGCTCTGAGGGAAGAAAGGAAAAAGGGGGACTGGAGCATCAGTACCTCCAAGCACCATGGGGACTATAAACTAACTCTAAGAAACAAATACCACACTTCCTGTGATAAAGACAATACAATTCGAGATTTGTTTCCTAGTGTGCATTAGTTCTTCTCTCAGGGTAGGTCAAGTGGCTGACATGGCCTTTTTCCATGGGTGTGCTGGGTAGGATAGCAAAATTAAGCCACCTGTGTGGACTCAAAATGATCACGGACTTTGGGTTTCCCAGTTCTGACCGTAAATGATACCATAGGAACCACTGTCACCAAAACAAGGTAATGCTTCATAACAGTGAATGCAGCCAAGTGCCTCTTTGGATCCAACCTGTAGGGCTATTGCTTCTTAGAGGTAGCCATTTCCCACTCATCATCTCATGATTATAAGCCCATTTTGGAAATGCCCAAGTCCAGAGAGAATAGAGATATACCTGAAGCAGAGGTTAGCAAATTACAGCCCACAGGCCAAATCTGGCCGCTGCCTGGTTTCACTGGAGCATGGCCACACTCACTTGTGTATGGATAGGCTATGGCTGCTTTTGCACTTACAGAGACAGGATCTGGCCGTTTACAGAAAATGTTTGCAGACCTAGAGACTCAAGTCGATTTAGGGAGCTGTCCCTCTCTGAAAAGGTCTTCAAAAGAGACCCAAGTATTTAATTATTAGTACCTGGTTCCAGCTGTAAGTTTCCAAGCATAGGAAATCTGGCTCTTGAGGCACAGAATCTGTTATGGGCAAAAACCTCAGGAGTCACCAATGTGCTCTGGACAAGAGCCTTCCTATGCTTTGAATAATTTCTCACTTATGTTAAACTGTACTCCTTGACCAGGTCTGTGAAAGGCAGAGAAGTGTGTGTGTGTGTGCGCGTGCGTGTGTGCCCGTGTGTACATATACGTGTGTGTACATTTGTATACATGCACATACATATATGTATAGACACATATACATACGTACATTCAGGGATTATTCCAAAAGGGGCAGACTATCTCTCTTTATGTCCTAGGCCAAGAAGAGCAAGGGAGGCAACTATCTGCTCCCGAAAGCTCTACTGTAGTGAGAAAGTCCAGCTCTGTACGTGCTCTCTGTCTCATTCACACGCTAGCTTGCTGTCAAAGCTAGAAAGCCCAATGGCGAAGGCCTGAAGTGCACACAGCGGGTAGTTGTAGTCCAGAGTGAACACATCGTCTGCCACACGTCCAAACTGCATGACGATATAATCAGCTAGAAACAGAGAGGAAATGTGATGTTAGAAGATACTGTATTGAATCTATTCTGCTCGTCAGTTTATTAAGTTCTTTGAGACTGACGAAATGTCAGAGGGAAGGGGGAGAGGGGGTGGAGGGGGAGAGAGTAACCAAAGAATTTATATGCATATATGCACAACCCAAGGACACGGACAATGGTGGGGAGAGTGACTGGGGAGGGGGAAGGAACGGGGGGAAAGGGTCACTGGGGAGAAAAAGGGACATCTGTAATACTTTAAACAAAAATAAAAATTATAAAAATAAAAATAAAAAGATACTGTGTTGGTTCTGGGGAAAGCCTGTGAAGATTCAGAAAAAACATCCTCCAAATAGGTCTGTTAATCAGCAGGTCTCTAAAATGGGAAACTTTTAGAAGAATGGGAAGAGTTGTTAACAAGAACGTCTACTGACCATGAGCAAAGTTTCTATCATGAGTCCTCTCAACTGCAGGGAATGGGAGGTTATTCCTGACCAGTATGAAAGGGAAAGAGGTGTCTGGCCAGCGTGGCTAAGTGGTTGAGCGTCGACCTAGGATCCGGGAGACCAGGGTTCGATTCTGGGTCAGGGCACATGCCTGGGTTGCGGACTTGATCCCCAGTTGGGGGCGTGCAGGAGGCAGCCAATCAATGACTCTCTCATCATTGATGTTTCTATCTCTCTCTCTCCCTCTCCTTTCCTCTCTCTGAAATCAACAAAGATATATTTAAAAAAAAAAAAAGAAAGGGAAAGAGGAGAGAAAAGTCAAGAGTAGCTAGCCGAGAACAGAACAAGCTCCATGAGCTAGAGCTACCAAGGAACCTTTACTGAGTGAGGGTCACTGGCATTTGCTTCCCAAACAGCCTCATCTAATTGAGGCCAATCTAATTCTCTGATTGGCCACAGGAAGAAATCTGTCACACTCTTTGGTCTCAACAACACTGGTTCAGAAGTTTTACTATAACACTGTTGTCTTTCCAAAGAAATCCTTCCTTTCTTAGATAATTCTCTCCTGAATATAGGTTCCTATCAGTGACAAGAAATGTTCATTTCACCACCATGGAAGAACAGCCTCCCTCCTATTCCCATCCAGCCCTCCTGTAGCTCACAGTCATTTTCGTGGACTATCTGAAAGTTCTTCACAGATGCCTGAGTGACCCGGCCATGGAAGTTCAGCACGTAGGACTGAGTATCATCATTCCAGACTGGGGCCTTGTTGTGCAGCTCAATCAAGTTCTCCATGGTTTTGTTTTGCCATTTTGAAAGCAAGCTCTCATGGTCCTGTTTGAAAGGAAAATCATTACTTTGTACTAAGAACCATAAGAAACCATTTGGAACTCTGTGAGGGAACAGGTGGAGCAAGGAATATTTTTTCCATTTCAGAAAGGGTAAAACAGAAACAAAGCCAAAAATTAAGCTGGGTTTTTAAAAATTTTTACAGATTATCTAGCATTTGTCTTTGCAGACTAAGTGGTTGCAAATCAAGCACTCCAGCAATTGCTCTGCAATGTACTTCTGCGGTTCTGGAGTGATGGATCTCCTGAAGAAGAGCATGAGTGCCCTGGCTGGTGTGGCTCAGTTGGTTGGAGTATCATCCCAGGCATCAAAAGGTCATCAGTTCGATTCCTGGTCAGGGCACATACCTAGGTTGCGGGTTTGATTCCCAGTCATGGCACATGCCCAGGTTGTAGGTTCAGTCCCCAGTTGGGGTGTATACGGGAGGCAACCAATCCATGTCTCCCTCTCTCACATCTATGGTTCTCTCTCTCTGCCTTCCTCTCTCTCTAAAAAAAATCAATAAAACATATAAATAAATAAATAAATAAGAGTATGAGCATTACTCCAGTTTGGGGTTCTGGAAGAATCAATAATCTTTGGATTGATCTCTTCTGAACTGTACTCTTGTCTTTTAGAATCCTTTGCTGATTAAATATATTCTTACATTTCGTGGCCGAAATGGAATCCGTTCATGGTTCATATTCATCCCTGGAATGATCACAGACATTTTCCTAGGACCTTTAAATCCAAATACATTTGTTTCCTGGAAGATAGGTAAATAAGACTCAATTTGGAAACAGAAAGAAAAACAAGACGACATACTTGATGCAAGACTTACTTGGACATGTAAAATGTTGACAATGCCAAGAGTACTAAAGTTGTTTCATTATTACTGTAGTTTAAACAAAGAGAGACAGAGAATCAAAACCAGGAAAGTGATTATATTCTTCTTTTTAAACCTAATTTGAACACTTGAATTTAAAATAGATTATATTGGCTTGAAAATTTATTCTTACTCTTTAATCTTAAATGAACTTTGAGACAACTGTGAGCAAACTGTCCAATTTTGTCATCAATAAATATTTATTTCCCAATGAGGGCATGGCACTATATGATCTACAGTGAGAATTAAGAGTGTAAATTAAATGGGGCCTGTATCAGGAGGTAAAAACTCAAATGCCTATCAACCAGGCACATTATATATGAATGAAATAAGCACATTAAATAGGTGGATATGTTTGTGTGTGTATTCATATACGTACACACATGCACACACACGACAGTCATGCACAGTCATACACATTGAGTCTTTGGGATCAAGCAACAACTCTGAAAGGAAGCGCCAGGCATCATGGGGATGTATACAAAGGAATGTCAACCACACCTAGCGGTTGGGAAAGACTTCTCTGATTACATCAGTTGATATGGCAAAAGACAAGGAGGGAAAAGGGAAGGCTCCCAGGAGAGAGACGATCATATGGTGGAGCAAAGGATGACAGGAGGGCTGTGTGGCCAGAATGACAGAAACAGGATGGGGAGAGTGCTGCTAGGACAGTCTGAAAGGAAAGACTGAAGTGTTAGGGATTTATTCTGTACACAATGGGAAGTCATAAAAGATTTGAGGCAGAAAACAGCAGGATCACCTGGAGTTCTGTTTTAGGAAGATTCATCTGGCAGCAGTATAGAATGAACTAGATAAAAAAGACTAAAAGCAAAGACATCAATTTGTAATTTATTGTAGCCCCTGGCCAATGGGTTAAGAGGTAATGAAGGTCTGTTAATCCAATGGCATTAGGAAAAGAGAAGCCAAGACATATTACAACAGTAAAAGAATAAGTGAACTTGGCAATTCATAAATAATTAAAACTTGACTATATAGAGAAAATGATACCAGCAACAGAAAAGAGGATCACAGAAATAGAAACAAGCTTGGGAGGGAAGATTATGAGTTCAGTTCAAGTAAAGTTTGAAGTGCCAGCAGGACATCAGGAAATTAAGGAAGAGAGTACAATCCAAGGACAGCACTTACGTAACAGATGGCTGCCAGCTCCTGCCGGGTATGGGCCTTTTCTACCAGACCTTGGGCCTTGACTGGGCTGACACCATGGTCATAAACTGTAAACTTGGTCCCCATGAGGTTGGATCTGGAATCAAAAGTAAAAGTCACCATAATGATCTATATTTTTTCTCTTTCACAAGCACAATCTAGGAAAGGTAATAGAATATCTGCCTGTTCTCCAAACACCTAAATGTTCCTCATCACTTTTTCAAAGATCTCCCATTAAAACAATGGAAGGACTTAGATTTTCTTTTAACTTCTTTTTCTTTAGATTGCAACATTAATACATGTTCACTGTAAAAAAAAAAACAAAAAAGGATTATTCTGAAACTATAGGGTTAATCTAAAAATAAAAGGCTAAAGTGAGAGGTAGCAAGCATTTATTTGAGATAAAAAAAGAATAGCCATTTGGAAAGCACTGATTCAGGCAGAAACCCAAATAGTGTTCCCATTAGAAGACAAAGGCAAGAGGTATTTTTGAGAAAGGGAAGGGGAACAATTACATCGATGCAAGGGAGACATGGCTATTGGGGCAGATAAGCTAGCAGAGTGACACTAATTCTAAATAACGTTCTTAATACTTAGTCAGGCAGCCATCAGTCTAGTAGTCATAATATCTGCTTTCTTGTTATCTTGGCACAAAATTGTTTTAGGCTCAGTCCAAAGGTTATTTTGCCCTTTTTCAACATTCCAAAGGTCTGAGGCATAAGACCTGCAAGTCAATTCCTCCGGGATGGCAGCTCTAAGTACACTTTTAAAGTGGCTCCATTTATATTATTTTTTACAATAGGAATAAAAGTATCAGAAAGAATAGGACAGTGATACAAGTATGCTTTCACCGGAGTTTGCCAATATAACTTTCTCCTTCACGAGATAAATCTGTTGGATCAGTGGAGATAAGGTAGTTGGATGTTTTGCTCTTTTTTCGTTTTCTGCCAGCAAGAAGAAATATCTGGAAAAAGAAAAAAAGGTCAGTCAAAAATGAAGTCAAGGGAATTGCTATGGTTTGTTCTACCTACTTACTTAGTCAATGTTTAGCAGTGCCTATCAAGTGTCAAGCAGTTAAATCTAATTCACTTTAATTTTCCTGTATAAAACTGTGTGTCCACAGCTGGAGCCTGGGGCCTCTGCACAGAGACTCCAGTGTGGGTCCTTACAAGAGGGTCAGTGAACTCCTGATAGGGAGACTTGGTGAACATGGTCTCTTTCCAGAGGTCAGGGGTGAGGCGGCAGGAGGTCTTGGAGATGGCATCAAAGGCCTTGGCAAAGTTGCCTGGGATGGCAGTGCAGCCCCTGCCCAAGGTGCAGCAGTCCTCAATGCCACCCAGCAGCAGCAGTTTCTTGGGCCCAGGGGCTGAGACAATTCTAGTGTTCCTGGTGGTGCGGATGAAGCTACCAGCACAGAGCAACATCGGCTAGTCACCTTGCACGGGGCAGTGTAGGACTTGCCAATCTTGGTCTCCCAGTCACCTCGCCACACAAGGACTACAGAGAACTTGGTCAGCATGATAGCCCCATGGATAGCAGTGGCTATTTCCCTGTAGCATGTAACACCCTGACCAACATGTAATTCCCAATGTTGACAAATGCCTTGAACCTGGTCTGCTGGCCAGCATGAGTCTACTTTTACATGGACATAATCTTCAAAACCTCGTTCTTGAGGGATGCCCCCTAGAAAAAATCAGCACTCTCAGATTCCTTGATGGGCAGGCAGAAGTGATTGATCTCCTTTGGGGTCTTGGTTGTGTCTTTGACCAGATAGCCTAATTAGTGAGGGGCATCACCCCTTGCCCTTGACCCTGCCTCATGAACTCCATGGCCTTGATCCCTACCCTAGACAGAACTCACTGAGGCCTCCCACCACGGTCTGCAGGGTCTCACCCAGCTCAGCACCAGTGTCATTGCCATTTGGTGTTTTCTCAGAGAAGACCCATCTGTGGGTCTTTATCTCTTTCCCTGACCCTCCATAATGTGTCTCAGAATTCACTATTAGTGTTTCCCTACTATGCAACTTTCTAAATTCGCTAGCTTGGTTCTCCGTATAATTATTTACAACTTTATCTCCAAAACCTCCAGTGACTTTTTAAAAAATCTTCATCCAATTCCATGAATAAGAGTCTTTCCAACTGTAGGAGAGACAGGATCCTGAATGCCTACCCTTCCCATTCTCCACTGCCACTGCATTCCTAATACTTTCTTTGTATTTTGTTGGGGGGTGGTTCTTTGTATTTTTTAAATTTTTGTGACTTCAGTGATATGAATACTCTCACATTTATGCTTCCTTGCTAAATCCTACTGGACTTGGACAATAACAGGGAAGCAGAAAAGTGGTAGTAGCTAAGGGGAGACTTTGGAATCAAACAGATACGGATTTGAATCTGGCTCTGCCACTTGGTGTGATTTGGAGCAGAATACCACTTCCTAAACCCCAGTTACCTTGCCCATAAAGCAGGGATATAAATCCTCTTTTACCAGGTTGTCATAAGGATTATAGGTGATAATATATATAAAGCATTTAGCACTTGCCTGGTACATAATAAACACTCAATAAATAGTGGTTATAATAACCATGATACCTACTATTATCATCTAATTTCTAGGATCCTAAAATCATCCACTTAGACCTGGTATTAATACAAAACACATTGTTCATTAGCAGGTATTAAACTGTCTCAAACTTAGCTACAAAGTAAATTAGAATTTCTAGGGTGAGAAACAATACTTTTTACTTGTATGTTCTTCTATATTTCCGATTCCTCCTCTTCCCTAAAACTTGCTCTTATGCTCTGGCTGGTGTTGCTCAGTGGTTACAATGTTGGCCCGATAACCGAAGGGTCATGAATACGATTCCGGGTCAAGGGCATGTAACTGGGTTGCAGGTTCATTCCCCAGCCCCTGTCAGGGTGCATGCAGGACGAAGCCAATCAATGTGTCTCTCACATAGATATTTCTCTCCCTCTCTCCCTCCCCCTCCCCTCTGTCCCTCCCTTCCACTCTCTCTAAAAATCAATGGAAAAAATATCCTCAGGTGAGGATTAACAAAAAAACCCCAACTTGCTCTTTCTCCTACAATGTTGTGTTCTACTATAATAAAAATTAAAACCAAAGAGCACACATTAACACCCACCACCCCAGAAAAGGGGTGGAGGTGAAAATAATTACATTCAAATGCTCTCTTCCATTTTCTTACATTCTGGATAAAACCTTTTTCTTGAGGGTGGGGGCAGATTCTGCCTATTAGACTATGGGCTCTTTGAAGATAGTGAGAACATAGCACCTGGCAATTAATAAAATCTACTTCCAGCTGATTTGGTCCTAGTATCAGTGCTGTTCCCCTATCACAAGACCCATCAACAATCTATTACCACATTCTTCCCCTCTCTCTCAAGATTTGTCTTAATAATCCATTCTCGCTCTGGCCAGATAGTTCAGTTGATTATCCCAATATACCAAGGTTGCAAGTTCAATCTCCAGTCAGGGCATATAAAAGAATCAACCAATGAATGCATGAATAAATGGAACAAATCAATGTTTTTTTCTCTCTCTCTCTAAAAATCAATAATTAAAAAAAAAAAAAAAATCGCCCAGCCGGTATTGCTCAGTAGTTGAGCATTGACCCATGAACCAGGAGGTCAGGATTTGATTCCAGGTCAGGGCACATGCCTGGGTTTTGGGCTTGATCCCCACTAGGGGGCATGCAGGAGGCAGCCAACTAATGACTCTCTGTCATCACTGATGTTTCTGTCTCTCTCCCTCTCCCTTTTCTCTGAAATCCATAAAAATATATTTAAAAAAAAAATCAATTTTCATACCTTCCGATTTTCATCCTTCTCCAAGTGCATATAGTAAGTGGGGAAGAGACCCCGATCCATTCCTTTTTTATCCCTTGTTATCCGACACTTGACTGTGACCCCTCGAGGGGCAGGACTATAAGCAAAGTCCTCTAAATTCTCTACTTCTCCCAGCTGGTTATCAGTGTGTTGGGCTGAAGTACCAGAAGCTCCTGTGTCCTGGAAGAATAGCCATTCATGAGCAAAAGGAGGAAGGGTCAGAAAAACCTCATAGTCTCTTTGAGAAACACTTAATGGATAAAATAACATTAATTTATCCCTATGTCTTCAGTCTTCTGACAAAATAATGGAAAACTCTGAGAAGTTAAGTAAGTATATGAATATTGGGGGTAATGGTGGAGCTAAGTACAAAAATGAGATATAGCTTCACAGTAGCCGGCTTGAGACACAACCAGAGAGGTCATGAACTTTATGTTTAAATTCGAACTTAAATCTTTTGAGGCAACCCTCATTCAGTAATGAGGGTTTTATTTAAATACTGAAGGTATATTTGGGAAATAGTTAAATTAGCTCCAAAGGAAGAAGTTTCAGATCTACATACTGTGGCTGATTTCTGGCTGGATGCAGAATCGGGTCTCTCTGCCGCTGAATATGGTGAATGAGACATTAATTTTTTTCCTTCTTCCTCCCCATCAGTCTCCTCCTCATCAAAGTTCAAACTACCTGAGATACCTGGCAGAAAAGGAAGAACTGTCAGCAAAACTGATTTTAAAAATCAGAGTTTTATTTTGGGATGATGAAAAAGTTCTGGAGATGGGTAGTGATGATAGTTGCACAACAAAAATAAATCTTTGAACCACAGAGAATTCTAACTTTCTTGCTTAAAACATTCTAAGCTATTCTGACTTAAAACACAGCTACTTTATCCAAATTTTGACAATTCTTTCTTCATATTCTCACTCA